ATGGGACCTGGCAATCTGTTTAACAAGCCCTCTAGATGTTTCTGATGCAAACAAAAGATTAGGAAACGCTTCTCCAGAGACAGGATGAACTGGGCACAGTACTCACCACTGAGCATTTCTCCTGGGTCTCAGGGAACACTTAGCTGCTTCAAATTTGCATTTTAATTACCCAGCACAGTTCCATAGTCTAAAACTTTAAAGTATTATTACTGCTTAAAAAAATGTTATGTTTTTCCATCTCTTCCTTGACAGTCATTTAGTGAAATGTTTATAAGAAAGTGGTGGTTTGTGAATAATATCCATTAACCAGTGTTATGAACCTTACTTTCATATTACATAGAGAGACACAGAGAAGTATAAAATATTATAATTATAAAATATAAACTCTTAAAAGGCAAATATTTTCAATAAAGGATTTTAATGTAAGTCATTGTGTTGTGTTAGCATTTTAGATAATGCTGTTGTTAATATTGTATTGATTATTCTCTCATCTTTATTAATATATAGTTTTAATAAATTATCACAATACAATTGATATACAATAGACATTTAAAACATTTAACCTAATAAAATTTGACACATGTACACAAGTGTAAAACGACTGAAGTGAGCATCAAGTTCCATTACAGGTATCTGTTACTTAGGCAATTTTCCTCCCAACCAGAAATGCAAAATGAGGTTGCAGAGACTCTTCCTGAATGAGGAAACATAAACTGGGGTTCATAAAGCCACTAAATATCAGTCCAAATGAATGGGGAAAATGGGGAAGGGTCTTATAGAATAGAAACAAAGCCCACTTCACCCTGTGAACTTTAAACTCTCATGATTCCTGTTATTTATCACCATGTAGATTTTAAAATAGGCAACCCCTTTATTTCTTCAATTTTCCATTGAGAGGAGCTTAACGGGGCTAGTGAAATTCGCAGTACCATTGCAGAGAATAGCCATCCCTAATTCAAGCTCTGCAGGTAGTTTCTTGCTGTAAGGTAACCCGTTTAACTTTGGCCACCAGTCCATTCTCAAATGTGTATTTCTCTGCAGTGTGTATTATACAGAACAGTGTGCATAAAAATAATGTCTTTGTTTTTCATAGCAATAAAATCTGATACCTTGCCTTAATTTCCTTTTAACTTTCTTTCATGTTTTCCTAGAGCAAATTATTCTGTCCCTGTTTATCATTACACAGACATTGGCTAATACCAAGATTTACTTTTCAATCTGAAATTTTTATTCTTTTCCTTATTGCAGGTTGGCTCCATGAGTTGGGAAAGAGACTGGAATCTCCCTACTATGGCAACAATACCTTGGGGGGCCCGTCCATCCGAAGTGCCTATATCGCCGCTCTGTACTTCACTCTTAGCAGCCTCACCAGCGTGGGGTTTGGGAACGTCTCTGCTAACACAGATGCAGAGAAGATCTTCTCCATCTGCACCATGCTGATTGGTGGTAAGGGAACTCCTTCTTTCAGACCAAGAAAAGGAATGTGTGTCTGCCAGACATTCTGTTTGCACAGTCCTGAAACACAATGGAGAAAAATTGGTCAAATCTGAAAGATTCTAAAAGCACTAATTAGGAAATCAGTGACAAACCTTATAATGCACATATAAATTAACAATGAAAGCCTGTGATGTTAATGAATTTCATTTTCTGGACAGATGAATAAGCACCTGATGGTTGATTTTGAAAGGTCAAGCACAGTGTTTTCTTAACATGCTGTTTACCTCCTGTGTTTGGGAGGTACATGAGTCTGAATTTGCTGGGATATATTTGAAACTTTATTCTGTGGTCCCAAATAGGTCAATGTTTCCAAATTTTGTTAATACTAATGTAGTAAGTTAAGAATGTTTGCTAGCTCATTTGATTAAAAATAAAAACCAATTTTTCACCAATTGTAATAATATTATTGCACCAATGTAATAATAAGTAGTTAAAATGTATTAATCACTTCTATGTTCCATTCTCTGAGCTAAATGCTTTAGTGCAATATCATAAGCAATTCTTAAGGTAAATTTTGGGGTTTGACATTATTATCCTATTTAATAGTAAACAAGTATTACTGTTTTCTCTAAGCCCCAGACCATACTCTTCTTCGCCAGCTGACTTTATTGACTTCTGCCAATACAAGACACCAGAGGGATACTGGCAGGCTGGAGGAGGAGAGAAGGCAGGCTGCTTCTGCTGTCCAGGCTTTGCAACTGTGGAGGCAGCCCATCCCAGTGGCTTTTAGCTCTCAGACTCCTAGGCACTCCTAGAGCCTGCCTCCTTGGGCCTCCTCAGAAATCCCAGCATCAGTTGGGGGTACCAGCACCCCAAAGTTAGAGCCATGGCTTCTTGAGGCTCTTTATAATTCCTCCTCTGAGCATTTTTGTCACTTCTTTCCTTTCTGGATCCAGCTCTTAGGTTAGCCGCACTTCTTCAGTTATTATATATCTGCTGTACCTTTATGCTCCCTTTTGGCTCATTCAGGTCTCCAATACCAGGGAAACAACTCTTCATAAAAATGTCCTCTACTGAAATACTTAGCATGATTTCTCTTTTCTGAACCTCCTAACCAATGTAGGATAGATACTATTATTATCCACCTTTTTCAAATGACTAATCTAAAGCTTTGGAAATTAAAGTAACTTTCCCAACACCACACAACCATGAAGAGGCAACATTTGAACCCTGTTGAATGCATCTCTCTTTAAAACATAGAAGGAAATTTTGCTGAATAATAAGACTGCTGTCACGAAGCAGGAGTGAACATGAACATTTACCTGGATTAAACGTTGCTCATAGACTAGAATTCTGTTAGTATTTTCTGACCCAAACTATTGCTTCAGAAGACTGTGCCACGTTCTCTCATTGGCTTTCATCCCAGATATCAGATAGAGTTTTGAAACTTATAGTAGAAAATGTGATATGGAGCAGTATGGGGGACTCAAGCGATTCATCATTTAGCACACAGTGAAATCAAAGTGTAAAACCAAACTTGCCTTCAAGGAGCTGATAAGCCAGTTTGGAGGAGATAGGATCGGGAAAGAATTTGGAGGACACTGGACAGTAGATAATAAGTGCCAAATCAGGAAGTTCAGAAGCAGTGAGTAGGAGAGCCAGGATGGGGAGCATTTCTTGGAAAGGCAGTGTTCGTGGCAGAGTTGCTGAAGTAGCATGCTGGGACTGCAGCAATTTAACAGGCTCTTGGCTGATGTCAAGCAGTCACAGCCTAGGGAGCAGAGAACAAGAATTCTTATTTTCTGAAGAGCTACACTGTGCCAGACCCTGTGGTGGCTATTTCATCTCCAGTATTATGACTTATATAATTTCCACTCTCCCTTGATGGCCCATCTTTCTGCCTAGCAAAATGACAAGCATTTTGCAAATAAACACCGTCTATACTTATTTAATATTGGCCCATGTTTCTTCTACTCCTGATGGAAATGTTGGGAAAGGCTCAAATGCTCAAGGCTTAAGCCTCCTAATTTAATATTTGAAAAATCTTTTAAATAAATGAGCTTATTCTCTAGTGATCCGCCTACTACATTGTGAGTGCTCCTCAATCAGAAATTGTTAAAGCATAAGCTATTTCCTGCTGTTCACTCAAGGTAGGAGCTCCACCAGTCACAAGGCCCAAAGGCACAGGAAATAATCTGATAATGTCTCTTTGTCAGTTCTTTGTTAAATGTTTACTGAGCAAATTCCCTGGGATAAAATCCTGGTATAGTGCTCATGGATAAGTAGTATTAAAACTTTAGGTGACTTCAGCAGCACTCTGCTTTTGAATGTTACATGGCATCTAAGAGGCTTGACTTTACTGGTTCAAGCTCTCTAAATTTGTATTTAGGCTAAGACAAATGATGCCTGCATTTTTACTTGTGTAACATGGAGAGCTAATCATAAAAGCATGTGATATTGAGCACTTTGTTCATTTAATTCTCATAATATTATAAGATGAAAATTATTAATAACCCAACCTAGACATAAAACCCCAGAGGTTTAGTGAGTTTAAATGTCAAGACTCCCTGGTAAAGTTATTGTAAAATACCCATTTCATTATATACTAGAAATTAATTTTATTTATTTAATATTTATAAATATATGCAAATAATTTATTTTTTAAAAGAAAAAAATTAAACATATGTTACTATGGACTTAAGTCTAGAATATCGCATTAAGTATCCCCACACAAGGCAGATGAAGTTGCTAATGGTAAGAATGCAATAGCTACTACAAATAGGCAGTAGCAATATTATCTGTCAGAATCCCAGATAGTTAACTAGGGCAAAGGTACATAGAAGCTGGGTGAAGAAAAATGGCAGGGAAAAAAAATTGGACCAATCTGGGAAGACTCTGGGAGCCTGAAGAATTTCCTCAGGAGTTCCACAGTTTTATTTATTCTTCATATATATTAAACTTCCACTTGAAGATACTATTTAAGCTTCCATATAAGCATCTGTAATTATGGACTGTGAAACTACTGATATATGGAATGAATATTTCAAACTGTAAAAGAGATTATGCAAAAATAATTTTAAAATTCTCACCTAGAAAACTGTATATGGACTTTGAGAGCATGCATAACAAAGAAGAATTCTAAAAGCTTCAGACAACAATTAGAATTAATAAGTGAATTTAGTAAGTTAATATATATAAGATCCATATATAAAAATCAATTTTATGCATGTAGACTGGTGACAACTAATTAGAAAAAATGAAATGTAAAAAAGCAATTGCAAAAGTATCCAATATGGACAAATAAATTTAATTAGTACAGTACAACACTTCTACACAGAAAACTGCAAAAAAAAAAAAAAACGGAGAAATTTTACAATTTGTTTTTTAAATAATGGAAAGATATACAATGGTAATGGTTGGTGATGATGGACTTGGTATTGTAAGGATATAAGTTTTGCCCAAACTAATGAAAAATTCAATGTAATCCCAATAAAAAATCCCAATAGATTTTGTGTTTGGGTGCACGTGAGTTATGTGTGTTTGAAAACTGACGAGCTGTTTGCAAAAGCTAGAGCAAATGAAAGGAGCTAAAACTAATAGAAATAACCATGAAAAGCAAAGAAAAAAAAAGATTTACACTACAAATATCAAGATGTATTAGAAAGTAATGGCAGTTAAAGAAATGTGGTGTTGGCTGCAGAATAGATGGATAGGTCAAAAAAATGGACTAGAGTTCAGGAACGCCCACACATTTACAGCCACTTTATTTATGACATGGGTGGCACTGCAGTGCAAAGGGAGAACTGGTAGCAGTTTTAAATTATTGAAACTGGCAGCAGTTTCAATAAATGTTGCTGGGTCAAACATGTATCCATGAGTTGAAAAACAATCTCGATGCCTCTTACAACTGTACAAATTAGTTCTGAATGAATTCTGATATAAACATGAAAAATAGAATAATAAAGCTGCCCAAAAGGGAATTCAAGAGCATGTTGTCATGACCTTAGATTTAGCAAAAATTTTCTAGACATGACATGAGTTCCCTAAAAGAATGATAAATCAAACTGCAGAACTTCTCTTTATCAAAAGACAGAGCAAGAGGAGCTGAGCTACAAGGTAGGAGAAGATAGTCACAAACATTTATCTGACAAAGAACTGTTATATATTATGTTTAAAGAACTTATATAAATCCACACACACAACTTAAAAAGTGCACAGAAACTTGAAAAAATCACTTCAAAAGTAAGGGGTTTTTTTCAGACTTTTTAGAATATTTTTTTATTTGCTCTAATTAGTCATCCATGATAGCAGAATGCATTTCGATTCATTGTACACAAACAGAGCACATATTTTAATTTCTCTGGTTGTACATGATGTAGCACTGCACCATATGTGCCGTCATACATGTGCCTAGAGTAATGACATCCATCTCATTACATCATCTTTCCTACTCCCATGCCCCTTCCACTCCTCCCTCCCTTTTACCCAATCAAAGTCCCTCCATTTTCCTCATGCCCCTCCCCATTATAGGTCCACTTCCACTTAGCAGAGAGAACATTCGGCCTTTGGTTTGGGGGATTGGCTTACTTCACTTAGCATGATATTCTCCAACTCCCTCCATTTACCTGCAAATGCCATAATTTTATTCTCTTTTAATGCTGAGTAATATTCCATTGTGTATATGTACCACAGTTTCTTTATCCATTCCTCTATTGAAGGGCATCTAGTTTGCTTCCACAGTTTAGCAATTGTGAATTGTGCTGCTATAAACATTGAAGTGGCTGTGTCACTGTAGTACGCTGTTTTTAAGTCTTTAGGGTATAGACTGAGGAGTGGTATATCTGGGTCAAATGGTGGCTCCATTCCAAGTTTTCTAAGGAATCTCCATACTGCTTTCCAGATTGGTTGCACCAATTTGCAGTCCTACCAGAACCAATGTATGAGTGTACCTTTTTCCTGACATCCTCACCAACACTTACTGTTGCTTGTATTCTTGATAACTACTTTTG